ATTGTTAAAAGAAATGCCTTGGAGAAGTGGATGGAGCTACTTGAAAGAGAATGAAAGAGAGAGGGAGCTGATAGGATAATAAGAGGGAAAGGACCAGAATATTTAAGGTTCATGCATTCATTCTTCCCATTCCTATAAATAAAGATGACTAGGAAATTAATCATCTATATTGCATGGAAGAGTACAGGTCTATTCTACTATTAATTTGATGTGATTTCCTGGAAAGAGAAGGTACAACGTCAATCAAGAAAAGCAAAATGAAAAACAGGCTGTTGAACTTATAAATCTTACTGCAGTTATGATTTAGGTTCACCATTTGAACTACTAATTAATCCTAGACCATACACAATCTTCTCCTCCACTGTTCCTTCTTCATTTGTACAAAACTATTTGAGATCCTGAGACCTGACAAATTTCTTGTAGCCAGATGTTAGAATATGAGACTCTAGTATTCAGCCAGACAGATATAGATAATAGATAATAGATACATAATAGATAGACTTCATTGTAACCATCTCTTGCTGTGAAAGCTATGATCATTTTAAATATAATGATCTTTACTGAACATAATGAACATTACTGAAACTTAAACCATGATTTATACAGTAGTTTTTCAGTATTCATACTTTTGTTGGTTCCACAAGCAGAAAATATTAAGACTTTCCACATTGGGTGCAAATGGTAGTTTTACACCAAACTGTGCATTGAAATAAAAGAAATGTCCAATGCAGAGAGAATACCTGCCAAGCCTGCAGATCTGAAAAGTCAGTTTCTTTACCCATCTTCACTTTTTTCTTATGGAACCCCAGCATGAGTAGAGCATCCAAAGCATGAGCCACAGCATAAACAGCATTGTAGACACTGTAGCTTTGGCCAGTCATTTCCATTTCAAACAAAGGTCCAGGAAGATCCTCCAGCTTCCTCTCCCCAGTGCACTGCCTACTGGGCATTTGTTGCAACTCTGGTTTTGGAAAAGAACAATCAAATGATTGTTCCCAAACACCCTGCAGAAACCCATCTCTGGAGCTTGAATAAGGTTTTATGCTCTGAAGAAATTCCTTGAACCCTAGAACGGCTCTTGAATGAACAGTAAAGGAAATAGCCCCATGGAACATCTGGAGATCCCACATGGTTTGAAAGCCTGATAGTGTGAAATCAATCTGGCTAGACATAATCCACACCTTTCTAAATAATGCAGTTTGCTGGTTTTCAGGATCTACTAAAAATGGGACAACTCTGAGCCCGATGATTGTGAAAGAATCTCCATAAACAAGAAATGTATTTGCTTTACTATTCATCAAATTAATAGCAATTCTTGAGACTGTGTCCTCAAGTTCTGAGATGTCTTCCAAGTGGACTAGTAGTGGAAGACTTTCTATGAAAGATGAACAGATTCCATTCTGTGAAAGTAACGGCTGCATTTTCTTTAAGAAATGTTCTCCATTGTTGTTATCAACAGCAAAAATCCCAATCCATGTCCACCTGAAATGAAGAAGCAGTTGAATAATCCCAATGTACTGATGGTCCTCATTGGGGACCATGAAATAAAGTGAAGATAGCTTATTCTTCTGAAATTCCTCTTGGTCTAATGAACCATATGTCAGCTAAAAGAAAATGGAGTATTATTCTCTTCAGTTGTTACATCAAACCTGACATTTTCTGATCTAGTTTTCATGTTAAATATATATAAGGAAGGAATTTTTTCCTGGAATTCTTTCAAAATATTAATATCAAATGGAATTTCTAAGAATTATTTCAAAAAAATAGTTAAATTGTTTTATTAAGAGCAGGGAATACTACTTTCAAATCTTCCATCAGGTATGGAATGTCCATGGATACTCTGGGACATTGACCACAATGATTGGCTTTGTAGTTTCAGAAAAGAGTGTTAAGTACTCTACCTTAAACTCTGCAGGAAGTCTTAAGAAATCTAAGCCTAATGTCCAATGCTCATTAACTATGCCATAACAATAAGGTACAAAAAATTTTCTCCTCCACCCCTGCATACTTACTTGTGGAATCTTGTAGAAACCTGCAGTTTCAGCTA